GAAGGCTAAGGTCATCGCAGGAAGGTTTGGCTGCTTGAGGTTGTGCCTTTGAGTCCCCGCAGCCGTGGAGCAGCCAGCGCCTAAAGAAACCGGGACCATCGCATGAGAAATAACTAAGAGAAGCAAACCTTGCTGAGGGTGGTTGGAAAAGCCCATATAACCACCTAAACCTGAGTGGGGCTTTGAAGATGAAGCATCACTAGGGCTTACACCGTTATCCCAAAGCAGCTGAAGGGTGGGACCGGAGGGGCCGTGCCGAGCCAGGCAGGGCAGTGCTGCTGGCGTGGCCGGGGTCTCCCCGCGGGCTTGGAGCCATCGGCTGCGTCTCCTAATGCACTCTTAGCTAGAGAGGAAAGAAAGACCCAAACCCTCAAGGGCTGGCACGTTTCCTGAGCCGCAGTCAGAGAGGAGCAGGGCGGGAATGGAGGAGCCCATCCCCACCTACGAGCATCCATGGCCAGCGAGGATAGAGACGCGTATCCCAAGGGAAGACTTTAGGAACTCCTTTTCTCACCCTCTGCACCAGAGCGGGCATTTCGCAGCAGAGCCCAGCCCAGGGCTGCCTGGGCAGGGTTGGACACCTTCCACCAAACCTGAAGCAGCCTGGCAAGGTGGAAAACCCTTCCCGATGTCCAACCCGAGCACAAACACCGAGGCGGGACATCCCACCTGCCCTGGATGAAGTCTCCCCCCTGGCAGCACTGATGCTCCCGCCCTGGCTGTGCTCTTGCGGCACAAGGACAAGGTCACGGCGTTAAGCGAGGGCTGCGAGCAAGGCGCTGCCACGGGGGGAAGGCGAGTGGGAGCCCAGGGTGGCCCTGGCCCAGGAGCTCTCCATCACCCCCCCAGGGCCAGCAAACAGCAGGCAGAGCAGGCAGCAGGGTCTGCTGGCAGCCCCAGGCGCACCCAGAATCAAAGTGACCAGGAGGCAGGAGCCAAAGGGGACAGGGACAAAGACAAGGCTGCAACACAAGTCCAACACCCACCCTGAAGATTGTGCCAAACCGAGAACTTGCCCCCGGTGCCAGCACCCACCCGAGGGACCCACCTGGGGCAGGAGCGGCTTGCAGGGGTGAGGGCCAGCGGGACACGGCCAGGAGCAGGGCTAGGGACCAGCAGCATCCTTCAGGCCAGGACTAGCATCCCCAGCTGAGCTTAAATAACCTCCTGGGCCCACGGGTGGGGGTGTGGGTCCCAGCTGAGGCTGCTTAGGGCCATCAAGGGCTAGTAGTGCCCATGGGAAGATGGCAATTTGGCCCCACAACTGCCCAGATGTGGCTTTACTGGTTGCATGGCAACGCCCAGCGGGGCTGTACTGGGGGAGCCACAGCGGTCGCTGCCAAGCCTGGTGCACGCTGGGCGTTGGCGACGGCCCGCGGTGCTGAGCACTGAGGTGGGGTCCGGTATGGCCGTATATATGGAAGAAATCATGAATTGCTCTTCGCCTAACTCTGTCCATCTTCAGGCTTCTCCCCCTTGCACCAGGGAGTCACCTCCGTGCCCGGCGGATCCCTGCTCCTGGGAGCCCTTTCTTGAAGGTCTGAGGACCAAAATCACACCCTCGAAAGCTTGGAAATTACCCGAAATATCAACACGAGCAGGAGCAGAGCTGGGCATAACTGAGCATCCCTTTGCTGGGGCTGGGGCCAAGCCGCCAGCGCTCAGGATTCGTGTGCAGCCTCGTGGTGGATGTGAGCAAGACGCGCCTGCGAGGACAGAAATTAAGTTGGTGTCGCGGGTAGCCCATCACCACCCAAAGCATTTTGGTCCCCTGAGTTGGGACAGGCCTTGAGATCGCGGGTTTTGGGTCAGAAGTTGGGTTTTCAACGCCGAAGTCGTAGATTTGGTGCCGCTGGTGCAGGAGGGATGCTATTACGACAGGTTGAGATGGCACTTGTCGCGGGAGGGGACGGTGTCCCCGTGTTCCTGTTAGCAGCCATTAATTGAGGAGGTTAAAAAGCAGCTTCTCCCGTGGCTTGGCTAAAGTTGCCTGTCCCGGCTACCGGAGCCTAAAAACGTGTGCCTAACTCCTCCTTGGTTTCTTCTGCTGCAAGCTCTGGGTCTTGGTAGGGCTTTTTTGGGGGGAGATTAAAGGGATCTTTCTTCTCCAGGGATGCTCTCCCATGGCATGGTCTCAAATGCTGTTATCAGACCACATACCCACCTTCTGCCCCTCGTCAAGTCTGTCCCTGCTGGGAAGAGTTTCAGACCTCAAATCCTTTTTTTCTTCATTCCCCTCCGGGGTCCCCATGGGGGATGGAGGTATGGGTGGCCCCGATTCCTCCCGGGCCCCCTGCGTGGAGGCAAAAAGCCCCGGGTGCCGGTGGCCGTATCCCAGGCGGATGCTGAGAATGGCTCTTTGTTCCCTGTTTCTAATTGCTGGGCCCAAGCAGCTCGTTAGCCGCTCTGCCCCG